TGGAAATCGTTTGTTGACTTCTCTTCCCAATGAGATCTGTTTCGGATGGAGCCTGGCAATTGGAGTCGTACAAATATATCACAGATTCCAGGCGGAACATGCAATGAATAAATTTTTTTTTGACCAAAAAGTATGTTTATGCCAGGACAATGTCTATAACCACTGAGAAAATATTTTAAGGTTATCATATTTCTGTAATGCTATATTTCTAGTGAGATCTTCAGAACAAGATAAGGGCAGTTCAATTAGTAGGATCTTGGTGAAATGATTCCGATGTACTTTGGATCATTGCACTATAGATCATTCTTATATAAGTTCCTTCGCATGTAATATCGATTATATGAGTAGTTTTCCTGCAGTCGAATTATATTGTGTAAAATGCTTGACAAGTACTTGTGTCATTGGTTCCAACTACGACTAAAAGGTGACTTAATGCTTGTGACTCTAAATAGCAGGTTTGTGTGGATCACTGTATTTCGAATCATAACTATTCGTATGCCCATCATGTATTCAAGTAGTTAAAAAAAGTAAATCACTAGGTTTTTGTGAAATTGATATAGAAAGAAGATCTGAAATATTCAATGATTGGTCAGTCTTCTCGAGTATTATTTATTTCTAAAAGCCATCGAGATCTGTATAAGTCTCTGACTAAAATGTCTCGATTGGTTGATCAAACTCGTACATTTTATCTAACAGGCGACATTCACGGTCAATATACTGATCTGCTTCAACTTTTCGATATTGGCGGTTTTCCACCCAAATCCAACTACTTGTTTCTGGGCGACTATGTAGATCGAGGCAAACAATCATTGGAAACAATATGTCTTTTGCTTGCCTACAAAGTCAAGCGACTTGCTCTTTAGACTATCTATCTATGATAAACATTTTTTTCCTTTGTTTAGATAAAATATCCTGACAACTTTTTTTTACTACGTGGAAATCATGAGTGTTCTTCAATCAACCGCATCTATGGATTTTACGACGAATGTGAGTATTTTCTCTATACCTTATAGCGATGCTATAATTCGAAATGAGTCAGTTTTCCATCAAGTGGCTTCAGTTTATGACTCAAATGTAATATTTTCCACTTCTGACTTTATCTTGAAGTCTACTCTAATGATTGGCATTTATTGTTTTTTGAAGTAAATAGAGACGAAATATTTAAATTTAAATTTTATAAAAATGATCGTATACTAAAAACGAAAAACAGTCGAAATGCATTTCATTCTTTTCAAGATACTGATTGTTCCGAAGAATTGTTCAGTATAGCGAAGAAAATGGATGCATTTGGATTTAAAGATTTCCTCGCCTACATTTTTTTTCTCTCACTATGAGTGACAAAAATTTTTCGTCATCTATTTTTGTTACTGATTACAGGCAAACGACGATACTCTATCAAATTATGGAAATCATTCAATGAGGTGAGATTACTATTTCTCTTCTGCTTGAAAAAATATTTGTCTATTTTTCATTCAAGTGTTTCAATTGTCTTCCAGTAGCTGCTATTATCGATAGAAAAATCTTTTGTTGTCATGGAGGTGATATCTGATTTTCATTACATCAAAACATCTCGAAAGTTCTTGATTATTTAAAGGTCTCTCACCTGAATTGCTGAATTTCGATCAAATTAGGCGGATTCAGCGGCCCATTGACGTACCTGATAGTGGTAAGTGTTATTAATTGTCATAAAGACCAAAAACTAGTAAATAAGAATAATGACTAGTAGAGAATATTTTTGACAAAATACATTACATACTAAATATCAAATCAAGATCTTAATCAAAGATGTATGATTATTTGAAGCCGACTACATTGACTATGAGTAATAACGTTGAACACTTCGAAATTGAAGTATCAACAAAAGAGAAAAGCAATAATAGCTTATTGTTCATATTAAGAAAAAAAATAAGAGTTGTACATTTCGTTCAGCCTACGATGGCAATTAAGAATGCAAAGCCTAAGGTTTTAAGATTCTCAAGGAAATGTGAATGAATGCTTTTATTCGTATTTTCTGATTCTATTCTGACCTTAATTTTTCTGTGATTTTTAATAATCTAGATAGTTCTCACCAAAATATTGAACATTATTGTTGTTAATTAAACTTGTGTGTATAATACTTTCGATTTTTCGACAAAATATTTTGTTATTCATTGATTAGAATGTCTTCTAAAAATGTCTCCAAATACCCATATGTTACAAAATTATTTCTATTTCTTTAAATTATCTATCTTGTTGAATAGTGAAGCCAATAAAATAATGACATAATAGGATTAGAACAAATTATTCTTATGTTTCTTTGAATAAGATTACATTTGATAGGCCTTCTCTGTGATTTACTTTGGGCTGACCCAGACAATGAGGCGAAAGACTGGGCCGAAAATGACGCCGGTGTTTCAAGCAGATTCGGTGTTAATGTGGTGAATCAAGTAAGTCTTTGGTTGAAACTTTTTTTCTACTAAATACTATCATTTCAGTTTTTGAATCGATACAACATGGATTTGATCTGTCGAGCACATCAAGTAAGAAGTCATATAAGTATTATAGTTTGAAAATCTTTACCGTTTTCAGTATTCCTCTACTATCATAGTTTATCATGCAAAGAGATCATTTTATAGAATATTCTTTTTCTTTAAAGGTAGTGGAGAACGGCTACGAGTTTTTTGGTAATCGTCAACTTGTCACTATCTTCTCAGCACCGAACTACTGTGGTGAATTTGATAATGCAGGTGCAATGATGTCAATCGATCAAAATTTGATGTGCTCATTTACGGTATTGTTTGTTTATTCTCATAAATTTTAGTAGTGACTCTTAGCATTTGTTAGCACTGATTATATAGTTTATTAAAAAACAGAATCAAAATGTATAGGACCAAGAACAATAATAATAGGAAGAGAAAAAAGGAAGAGCGAAAAAGATAAGGAAAATGTATGTATTTCATATGTGTTAGAATATAAACTTATAGAATCATGCTATATCTTGAACAATACTTTATATAACGATGATTACGCCATGTGTAGAATAAAAAGATTATCAGAAGATGATCGCACCAAATAGAAGACAAGATGTAATGGGATTAAGACGATGAAATGATAACAGTATCAGCGAGGATTACCTGGATAACACCATTTTTACCCAATTGTTTAGGTCATCTGATGCTCATGATATAAAACTTTCATACATCGGGTTGAGCGACAGATTTTCAAAGACCTATCGAATTATTATAAGAAAAAAAAATTGATATTTTCTGCGCTGTAGATATCCATTTTTAGGCCTGCTCTGATCGTGATCCGAACTTGTCAATGTAGTTACTTCAAAATTATTTAGTTGTTCACTTTTGTATACTTAAATCGAATGTGAAATTTTAAGAATATGAAGTTTAAAGTTCTACACCTTCATATGTATTTCATTAAGCAAAAAAGTATATATGTATATAGATCTCTCGCTTGCTAGAGCATTTTTGAATGACAGTTCGTGTATTTGTACAAAATTTATATACACGTTCAAAAATGTAAGGATCTACCCCAATTCGGAACAATGAACTTGACATGAAGGAAAGCATTTCAATATTCTATGTTGATCATTCGACATCTATTTAAACGAAAATAAACCGATGAATTGATACAATTTGATATTATCATGTTAAAAAAAGAAGAAACTATTTTCAGACGTTAGAATGAAATAAATTCTTTTCTTCTGTCTTTCGTTATAGATTTTTCAATCGAGCGACAAGCAGACTAAAAAACAGGATGCTGATGATATAGAGGCTGACCGACGAACCGCGTTTTTCAAAGCCAATGTCAATAGTCTATCAAGGATTCAAACTGCAGAATTCGATAAGCACGTGAAATGGGCTGACATCGAAAACAGTACAGCACCTAAAGAACATACACTATACTCACTCTATACAGAACTCTAGCAGACTGGTTGATTAATCGAGAGTCATACGAAGACCAGTGCTGCACGAACAGTAGCCAAATGAAAGCAGTCAGTCAATAAATAAATATCTACTCTACTGTTTTTTGTATTTAACATCATGATGTCTTTGTCGAATCTTGTTTTTTCTGACAAAGACAGTTTGTCATGTGATGGTTACTTTGTAAGCGAAGCTTTTGTTAATGAGTAGCTTTCGATGAGTAATAGAAAACCATAATAGTTTTCGAGTTTATGATAGTTTCTTCTTTAGACATCGAAGTTTCAAATCATGTTTCAGAATAATATAAGTTATCTGGCAAAATCAAACCGTCAAGTTTCGAGCTACTTACGTATACGCCTCTGTTAAAGGAGCTTAAAAAACAAATATTTCAAATACATCGTTGATAGATGTAATAGGTTTTATGAAGGGTGTGGATGTGCGCAGGTATAGGTATAGTTGTCAGTGTGGGTCTTCTCATCATCTACACTCACATACAACTGTTAGATAACTAAATAAAAATAATTCGTTTCAATATCTGTTTCAATTCAAATTAATTTTAAATAATTGCTGAAAAAACTTGAAATACTTCTTGCAAAGATTTTAGACTTTAGCAAAATTTTCCCTAAAAATCAACTGTGTTACATTTATCATCCATTATTGATTATCAGAAAAAATAATCTAATTATAACCTGAATTATATCAGAAAAGTCTCTGATAAATGCTTTCATGAAAACTGATATTACATAGGAATCTATGTGTTTTAAAATACTAAACAAATACTGTGACCCCATGTGGGGTCACCCGTTCCCAAAGAGCTAATCAATCGTTAAGTGAACAATACAGGCAATCTCCATCTTCATAACGAGTAGTTCATTTAAAATATAGTTCATGATTTTTATTCTTTCTGAAATATTCAAACAATCTACAAAAGGACAAGACAACGATCGAGCAACATAGGTAACACAACTTGGAAAACCAATATGACATATCAGAAGCAATTTTTTTCTACGAAGCCAGTAAAACAGTATATAGTCTGTTTATGCACGTTCTTGAAATATGGCAACTAGTGGCAGCAATTGTTTACTATTAGTTGATTACATGACGAGCTGTTAAACTCCCGAGTAGACCTTGTCCAAAGTCCATGAGATTGATCGGATTTTTGCCATCGGTGACGAGCATCGATTGTATTCCGAGTGCTTGCAAAAGTTTGACTTGAGTTTCGGGACCTGATGTAGCAATACTTTGAATAGTCGAAGTACCGATTGATTCGACTTGTAATTTGAATTTTTCAGTTTCAATTCGAGACAACTCGGCTTTTTTCTTAATTTCTAGTTCGTTTTGTTCGCGTAAAAACTTGATTTCAGCTTCACGTACTAATTTTAAACGGGCCAATTCAGCTTCAGCTTCGATTTTGGTTGCTTCAGCTTTACGACGCGCTGCAATGGACCAAGAAAAAAAAGCTCAGGTATTCATTATTTAAATGTAACAAAGTATATACCTTGGTAAACGGCTGTTTCGCCTTCAATACGCTTCGATTCAGCACGACATCTGTTCGGCTTCAGCTTCATTTTTGATACGTTGTCGTTCTAAGAAACCTCTAGCTTCTTGTTCGCGACGTGAAGCTTCATGTTTAGCAGCAGCTTCTTGTGAATTCGTCGTTATCTAAAATAGAAAGTGTTGCTTGCATTTCGATAGAGACGAACAATTCAATATCATACCTCAATGGCCAGTTGCACACTCTTGTGTAGCGCATCACGCGTACGTTGATCGACAGGTTCAACACTTTGAATGTCGATCGATGTAATGACAAGATTATTTTGTGGAAAGACAATTTGATCACGTACACACTGATTTGCATCAAGACCGAATACAGATTCACGAATGATGTGAGCGGAGTTCCTATGGAAATCATCAAATTGAGTACCAGCTACAGCACCACGAATACGTGAAGCAATAGCTTTGCATGTATCCCCGACAAAATCAGGCACTGAAAAGAGTTTAGCCGCTTCTATCTTATCATTTATGTCTTTCACTTCAAAGTGCCAGTCTGGAAAATAAAGAATAATCAATCACGTATATTTTTGAATGTTTTTGCTGTGTTTTTGACTTACTATAAGCAAGTTGAAGGGAAAGACGAGCATGATCGGCCGTCTCAATGACGATGATATCAGTAAAGAAATTTGGACCGAGTAGTAAACAAAGGGAGTTAACTTGATTAGGACATTTGGGTATGCCACCACTTAGAGAAATCAGAGTAAAATGTTCATCAGGTTCAAGCATGACAAGTTCTGGACCGAAGACAATGCGAGCTTTCTTTAGTTTGTAATCATAGATTTGAACGGCTGCATTATGTGGAACACGATATGTGATCAATTTCCATTTGTCACGTTTAGTAGTAATTGATTTCGAACTGTTTGATTGACTATTAAAGGCAGTAGCTGTCGATGCATTTTTGGCTGAAGCCGATTCACGCATAAGAGAATAGCGTTCGGTTAATGGATCACGCGTAAGCAAATATTCGATTTGTTCGGATAATTCTTTATTCCAAAGTTCTTCATCTTGTGTTAACATGTAAGTTTCACCGATGACTGCTCGAACACGACCACTTTTGATATTACGAATATAGATGCCTTCATTTTCATCTAATGGAATTGCCTTTCGTCGAGTGACAACTTCTACTTGAGTAGGTGGAATATATTCACTAAGAATTCAAATAAAATAGCTACATATTCAAAATGTTATTTAATAAAGAAAAAGTAACTTACGTTGGTCCTCGAATCATCCATAGATCACCCGGAGTACGTATTTTCTTTGCTTGTTCATCTTCGAATGTTTCATTACATTTGACAATAACACCTTCGTCTTCATCCAAAATAAAAATATTTTGAATGCCTGTCAAGAGTTTTTCGCCCGGTTGGAGAAAGAATGATATTTCACCAAAGATCATTTTCTAAATAAAATAATTAAATCATAGTTTCTTATATTTATCTCTTAATAAAATATCGACCTTTCTTCCAAGTTGTGGTTTACTATCGATAACGGGATCGAGAATAACACAATACTGTCGTGAATTGAGTGTGATTGCATCGACAACGGCAACAAGTTCTTCATATATACTGAGGATGTGTGTTTCCGTATCAATATGCGTTACAAGCCATTCTTCTCCACTCAAACGTTTTTTACCAAAATCGTCAATGAAAGTTTTAAGGGCTCGAAGATGAAGAGCTTTCTTCTCAGTTAAAGCATAGGCATCTTGAACTAATACAATCGTTTCCTAAACAATCGAAATAGATAGGTAATGAGGAAAACAAAATACTAGAGAATTTACATAGGCTAGTGGCAAATAAGCACCGGTCTTTTTGACTAACCACTCTTCGCCAGTGACACGATGTTGACCTGATCGATCAATAAGTTCTTTTTCGGCGCAAAGTCGAATAGCTTGATTAGGACCAATAATAGTTGCTTTAATTTGTTGTTCGACATTGACTTCTTTACGAGGAATGTATGTAGCTGGACCTTCGAACATCCACTCATCAACAGCTCGTCGTTGTTCCTTATGTGAATCTTCAAAATCGAGTACAGCTTTTAATCGCAGTGCTGAATTAGCTGGAACGACTGTAAGTGCAGTGACAGGCTATAAATAAGAGTTAATACGAGTAAACAACTTTTTCAAAATTTTATACTTGGCGAAGAATTTCTCCTGGATAGAGAGGAAACGGGATTTGATCAGGTCGTGTCAGACGAATATCGATATCGGCATGGGCCAATTTCGCTTGACCATTCTGGTCGAATTCTACTTCACCCTCCTCATTGCGTATCACTGGCGATTCGACAATGCAATAATGTAGTGGACTACAAGAATTTAAAAAAAATTATATTTTACTTTTTCGCCTTACCATGCAGGCACTCACGGAATGATGATCATTTTTTCTGGGCCGACTGTTACCGTTTCATTGTCCTGCTTAATAAAAGTCTTCGGACCATTTTCGAGGCGTGTAATATTGGTGTTCTGATCTAATACATGTATATAATAATACGGTAGAATCCGATAGACAGGTCCTGCAGCATTGTTTTCATCGATAGCACTTGATGAAGTCGAACTCATATCAATTTTTTTCCTATATATATATATATCTATATGAACGATAATGAACAATTATGTGTGCGTGTCAACGAATATCTTCTTATAAAAATCGAAGAATGAAAGTAGTAAGAAGAGAAGATGAGATTTGTGCGGGACGACACGTTTGTCCCACTACAGAGAAAAGGAAAAAACCTCAATGTTTTTCTTTCATTTCTTGTTATTGCACAATACCCATCTTCTTTCGTCTAGCAAAATGTTGAAATGAAATGCAAGCTACTTTAAATGACTCACGGTAAAAAAACCCGAGTTACGAAGTAAAATTTCCAACAATAGTAAAAGCGAGTGGTGTCATATATCCAGAATCTCGGGCATGCTGGAGAAGTGTGGGGAGATGCGAGAGAAGTGCATACTAGGGAGATGCAAGAGAAGTGTAGGGCGACGCGAGAAAAGTGCGTGGAGATGTGAGAGAAGTGTGGAGAGATGTGAAAGAAGTGTGGGGAGATATGAAAGAAGTGTGGGGAGATGTGCGAAAAGTGTAGGAAAATGCGAGAGAAGTGTGGAGAGATGTGGGGAAGTGTGAGGAGATGTGGGAGAAGTGCGGAGAGATGCGGGAGAAGTGTGGGAGATGCAAGAGAAGTGTCTGAAGGTGTAGGAAAAATGTAGGGAGATGCAAGAGAAGTATGGATAGATGTGGAAGAAGTGCGGGAGATACGGGAGAAGTATGCAGGAGATGTGAGAGAAATGCCTAGAGATGCGAGGATGTGGGTGTGAGTGTTTCTTTACTCTATCCACAGTCACACCCACACACCCGCATCTACACCCACACACCCCGCATCCACACCCACCCACACCCACATTTACCCATACCCACACCCACCCACACTCACACCCTCCCACATCTCCCGCACTTCTCCAACATCTCTCTACACTTCTCCCACATGTCCCCACATTTCTCTCACATCTCCTCACACGTCTCCCACATCTCCCCACACTTCTCCCACACCTCCCCACACTTCTCTCACATCTCCCTACACTTCTCTCACATCTCCCCACATTTCTCTCACATTTCCCTACATTTCTATTGCATCGCCCTAGTATGCACTTCTCTCGCATCTCCCTACACTTCTCCAGCATGCCCGAGATTCTAGATATGTGACACTGCTGATATTCCAAATCTAAAATGAATCCTACATTCTCTAAAAAAACAAAAGATTTATAAAGAGCTTTCAAATTCTACTGAACTTGGTGTAGGACATATTTTGAGGAGAATCTGGAATCTCTCATGAACTTTTATATGTTCTAGCAAAAGTCAAAATTCATTTCATTTATATCACATTTATTGATAGTTATATTGGTGGAAAATTTTATTTCATTGTTTTCTACACTTGAAATAATTTGTTGTCCTAGTCAATACAATTCATTAAAATGCATCTAACGACATCTTTATCATAATAGAAAGACAAAATTAAGTAAATCGTCTTGTATAAAAACTAAAAGAATATAACCATCTTGGTTGGTTTTGTGAAATCCACATATATTTTCAAAAAAACAAATAGTGAGTGTAGATTTGAGTCGATGAACCGATTAAATTCTAGCTTTCGGGAATAATTAATTTCAATCTTTCTGAGTTCATCGAGATACATAATATGTTATTAAGATCTGCTGCAGATATAGTGAATGTGTACAACAGGATTATCTGTTCATTAAATCAATGATTAGACTAATAATAATAAACGTTGAAAATATAATTTAAAAAAAAGAAAACAGATATTAAGTGAATAGCAGCAAGACAAATCGAAAATGAGCATCAGTCGAAAAGGTTCTACGGAATATCGACAAAAGGAATTTCGCCAATGTCCAAATTCTAGTAGAATTTGGACAATGTTGTCGAATTTCTACAATTGGCGAAATTCTTATGGAATTAGGACAGAATTTCTTTTTGCTGAGAATTTTCTTGTCCATTTTCCATTAGAATTTTGACAACGTGCATGATTTAAATTTTTTTTTATTGTCGACTTTTCACTGACAATATAACAACATATTTATCAATTACATCTGTATACTAATGTCGACTGTCACGTCTGGTCCTTCTTCCATTGGTCAATTATTTTAGCCAATCAAAATTCAGGCTAAAGGCCATAAGGCTATCCTATGGAAGTACCCATGGATCCTCAATGACTATTATATGGGATATCCATAAGTCCTCAAAGCCTATGCTATGAGAGTACGGATTAGTCCTTAGGGCCTATCCTATGAAATGTGGACTCATAAGTGATCAAAGCCCATGCTATGGACACACTCATAAATCCTCAAGAGCTTGAAATGGGTCAGCAGGTAAGTCACCGTGAAATGTAGCTGTCACATATGCACTAATGGAAACATCTATATTATGGCTCTTGATGACTTACGCGTATTCTCATAGGATTAGCCATGAGGACTTAGGAGTACTCCTAGGATAGCCTTTGAGAAGAAGAAGAAGAAGAATACCCCGCCTTTCGGCTACCTTTCAGTATAGGGTGATGTTCGAGGACATTTTCATTAGCCCGATATTTTTCCTACAACTATTTCTAGCTGTAGCTCTGGGCAGAAAGCTGGCGTGACTTAGAGTTTCTCCGCTCATTTAAGCTACCCATACCCATTGACTAACCATATACTAGCTATAAAAGCTTATATATGTCACAATGTAGTCAGTGTGCTATCGTACGGGTAATCCGAGACAAATAGCCGTTAGTGACTTATCTAGGGTCATTCTATGTTTGGTGACGCCGAGGTTCGAACGCAATACCTTGGTATTTTGTGTCGAACAACTTCACCACTCAGCCATGGCGACTAGCCTTTGAGAACTTATGGATACTCCAATAACATATGCCTTGAAGGTTTATGGATACCTCGGTAATATAGACTTCAAAGAGCTGTGTATATCCCTATAGGATAGACCTTGAAAACTTATGCATATCTGTGTAGGATAGCCCTTGCGGACGACTGTGCACTGTCAACTGCTGTCATAAGTCCACTAATGTATCCCTAGCTATAAGAAGATGCGACCGGAAGGCTAGAAGGGTATAAGGGTCCAAGGAGGTAAAGCTATAAGGGTGTAACGCTACAAGAGGGTAAGATTATAAGGTCTTGATATATAATGCAAGGTATCTGATTGTTTGTACTGGGTCAAAATTAAAGCATGGATGCGAAGCTTTGCAGAGAGAAAAAACAGTCGTGCAGCATGCACGGGTTTTCACTAGCATTAAATAACGAGAAGAATGATGATTTAGTTCATGCACTAACAAAGATATTCGAGGATATTAAAAGATGATTTAGTGTGATAATGAAAAGAAACACAAAATCTTCTTCAGACGTTACCAAAAAGAATATTAAGGATATCGAATAATGATGTGATTTTGATTAAAATACAAAATTTAAAAAAATAAAAAGATCTCTACTTGAAAAAAAATAGTTATAGCACAGCACACACATCACTTGATGTTGTATCAATCAAAGCCTTACTAGTTATATATACTTCCATATGTATTTTTTAAATAAATTATTGTTCAAATTCTAATGGAAAATGGACAATAAAATAGCCAGCAAAAACAAAATTTTATCGTAACTCCATAAGAATTTCCACAATTGTAGAAATTCGACAACGTTGTCCAAATTCAGATGGCGAAATTCTTTTTGTCGGAATTCCATTTTACCGTCGAAAAAACAGAAGGAAAAATAAAATTTCTGTTCGAAATGTAAAAACAAAAAGGACAGAGCATTTGCTGATAATTGATTATTATTATGTGCTAACAAGCTTTTCTACTTATTGTTGTGATCTTAATGCATGTGCATATTTATTTGATGATATCACAAAATATCTCATATTTTTGAAATCACACTTGTCAGCGGCTGTTTTCTCTTAGTACGTAACTATGTAAGATACATTTATCCTAAGAAGATTTAATACATTGATAGTTTTCTTGCATCTTATCTTGAACTAATATTTGATAATAAAAAGCTTCACATTTTATGACAAAGTTTTTTCTTTCTTACATTAGTAAGTAGTTACTTTATTTTGTTCTTATCAATTATTACTCGTTGTTCTTCTACAAACATGTTAGCAACAAAACAACAATGTGTAATTCTTGTCACTGGTGCTAACAAAGGCATTGGTTTTCATGTTGTAAAAAAACTTTTGAACGAATCATCATCGAATAATACTGTTATTCTTCTTGGTAGTCGAGATTTAAAACGTGGTCAAGATGCATTTGAACAACTTGGCTCTCCATCCAATGTTCATATTCTTCAGTTGGATATGTCATCAATAGAAAGTATCAATCAAGCAATTAATGAAATCAAAGAAAAATATGGCGGACAATTGGATATAGTTATTAATAATGCTGGAATTCTTTTAAAAGATTTTACTGTTGATGCAGCTCGAAAAACATTTGCCGTAAATTATTATAGTATCAAATTACTCAATGAACAATTGCTTTCAATGATTAGAAAGAATGGACGTATAATCAATGTTTCTAGTCAATTGGGCCCCATAGCATTGCATGAATCTTCTTCAATTCTTCAAGATAAATATACATCATCAACATTGACAATAAAAGAACTTGATCAATTAGTTGAAGATTTTATTGCAGCTATTGAAACAAATACTCTTAAAGACTTAGGATATCATAATAAAACGAACAGTCTAATCTATAGTATTTCTAAAGCAGCATTAAATGCACTTACTCAAATAGAAGCACGTGAATGGTCTACTAGTAAAAATCTACTCATTGTATCAGTGTCTCCAGGATTTTGTGCTACTGATATGACTCAAAATGCATCTAATGCTCGTTCTCCTGAAATAG